ATCGTCTTTGGGGTGCTATAAAAATTACCCATTGTTCTCCTGACCCATGGCTTCATTTGCGTCATTATTCTACCTACCAGCTATTCAGAAATTTTACATAAATTGACAATAAATCAATATACATATGACCCTTCTATACATGCAACTAGACTTACTTCCGCGTGGTGCACCCTGAGCAACTAATATTCATACGGAAAATGTAAGTAACCGGCAATTGAATTCTGACTACAAACTATCATCATCCCACTGTATGTCATATTCGACTACTTCCACAGTACTCATCCTACCTCTTCTCTGCCTTTGTATCTGTCTCTTTTACATCTTTGAAACTCTCTTCTGTTCCCCCTCTCGACTTTTTCTCACTTTGATGCTTCTCCTCTCTGTAAAGCCCGAAGTCGGATTAGGGGCTAATGATAACTACCAAAACGCCTGCCATTCGATGTAAATAAATAAATGTAACTAAATTATAAAATTATAAAATCATACATTCACACTTCAGTGGAATTTAGGGAAAATAGTGTGTGCAATACACCTGATTGGACGCAAATTCTAGCGAGAAAAAATGTCATTGTTCTCTAAAATCATAAGCGGTACCCCCACCCCCATCCCCTACCCTCACCGCAAATTCGGAAACCCATTGAGCTATTGAAAGGCAGGACCAGTAAGAACACCATATAATCATATCTCGTTCATAACGTTGCCAATAAGGGGTGTGCGATAGACTTACCTCCACGTGGTGCACCCTGGGCAACGTATATTCATACGGCAAAAAAGTCTATTAACCAGCAGTTGGCTTCTGACTTCAAACTATCATCACCTCATTCGATGCCATATTTGAATATTTTCACAGTACTCACCTCACCTTTGTTCTACCTTTGTGTTTGTCTCTTACATCTTTGAAACACTCTTCTGTTCCCCCCCCCCCTATCGGCTTTTTCAATTTGATGTTTCCGCCCCTCTGTGAAGCCTGAAGTCAACTAAAGGGCTAATGATAACTATCAAAACGCATACCATTTGATATAAATAAATATATGCGTCTGCGTCAACTCAAAACATTTTATCAATTAAATAAAAAATGCCTTTATATTATCTCGGAAAGATTTGCATTTAATACTCTACATTACATTTTATGCAGCATGTAACAAGTGTCAGCATGAAGTCGAGGATCATTGTGAAATTTATATGTTGGTCTTTAGAAATTAGCCTAAACTATAGTGCAATTGCAGTTCAGTTAGAAACCCAAATGCAATACGAGTAGCTTGCGGTTCGACGATGGACCAACCAGACATGGCGAGGCCATTAGAATACTCCAATTTTTTTTCTATTGAACTCCAAATGTTGATTATGTTACCGCCTAGGGTGCACTTTTGTTGAATATGCCTGTCTCATCCTTTCTTCACTTTGAATAACATGCGAACTTTGTGACAACGTTAATATATGATTGGATTGTAGACTATATTTATTTGGCTTTCATTTGTCTCTTTTTTAATCTTACCTGTTTGAATTAAAAGATTATTAAATGTGTTAGTCACTAATTTTATTGAACTAATTTTAGATTGAGCCGTTTAATGACACTGTTAAAGTGAAATTAAATTATCTACAGAAACAAATAACATTAGAATTAATATTAATTTCAAGTAAATTAAATTATCTTGCGCATATCCCAAAAGCAAAAAACTATTTTATAAAATCTCTCTTTACTTAATTTTCAACTATTGAGAAATGCCTTTAACCTTATCAAAATTTTGGCAGTGCGTGATTAGAAGAAATTTATACTGTGGAAGCTTTAAGCTTGTTGAATAAGAATGAATTGAAGTTGGAATTGCCAAGTTCATACAAGGCCTAGCCTGGGGAAGATTAAGGTTTTTCTGCAACGGTCACTCGCTTTCTATTACCTCTCGTGTTAACTAGGGTGCGTACCAACGCGTATCTGTCTGTTGACGTCCACATTCCACAGAATAAATCTAGAATTCGAATAATTACTTTTCTCGGCTTGTTTTTACGACTGAATAATTCTGTTAGACTATTGACTAGGATTGAACAAAGTAAAGAAGAAGTAACTAAACTTATGGGACAACTTAACAGAAAACTGCACTTCAAAGTAAAACGACACACATTTTAAAGACAGAACCGCAATGTAATAATTAAAAGTTAAAGCCGAAGAGCAAAATTATTTTATAAATACTCGGGTTACCTTGGAAATTCCGTATTGGAAATTTTTCGTTTTTTATATAGGCTGATTTCAAATATTCGACTTCTATCAAATTTTGCTAGAATTAAAATGTCGCTTAGAATTGAAACCGCATTGACCTCGCCTTGTTGTCAAAAATAAGCCGTTAAATGCATTAAATTATGAAATTATGATTTTTGAATGTTTGCAATTCCCTCACTTCCTTAGTTGCTAAATCTTCACCTCTTTAGTTGTATAGGGAAGGACAATGAAGTAAGGTAAATCTGTCAAGATGTCAGACGGACCGTTTCTTTACTCCGATGTGACGATCGAGTCACCTGAATTCAAGAAGAAGCCACCATCTCTCCATCTATCTTGCCAGTCCTCCGTGAGTAATCTCATGTCAAGATGGCATTTAATCTACTTTTAACTTAATAACCTTTCAAGATTTGTTATAAAATAATTTATTTATTTTAAATGGCAGGCGTTTTGATAGTTATCATTAGTCCTTTAGCTGATTTCGGGCTTCGTAGACGATAGTTATCATTAGCCCTTTAGCTGACTTCGGGCTTCACTTTATCATTAGTCCTTTAGCTGATTTCGGGCTTCACAGGGGAAGGAACATCAAAGTAACAGAAGGTCAAGGGATGGGGAACAGAAGAGTGGTTTACAGTTGTAAAAGAGACTGACACAAAGGCAGAGAAATGGTAGGAAGATTACTGTGGAAGTGGTGGAATATGGCATTCAGTGGGGTTATGGTAGTTTGAAGTCAGAAGTCAACTGCCGGCTAATAGACTTTTTTGCCGTATGAATATACGTTGCCCAGGGTGCACCACGTGGAGGTAAGTCTATCGCACACCCCTGTTATAAAATAATAATATATACGAGATGCCATTTCCATTAAACATTATTCAAAATGCCACAAACATGTCCTTTTAATATAAATAAATAAGATTTATAGAAATACTTTAAACTGACCTAATTAAAGCCTGCAAAACTGTCGTCAACATTCATTACTCACTTCTCTACCATTGACTTTATGGAATCTCCTAAGTAGGTCTTGATTCAATTTAGTGCAAGTCATTAACAATTGATAAGTCCTGCACTGTCAAGCTGCGGTACAGATATCACTTAAAATTTTCGAAATGCATATTTGGTTTTTTCGAGAATATCCCAGCGCTATCAAATGCATTTTAAAAACGTTTTACTTGCCTCAAAGCGTGAGCTAGAAATATTAGTGTAAGAAGATAGGTCACGCATTTTGTTCTGAAAAGTGCATTGGGATGGTTGAAATTAGACAAATTAGTATGAAGGTGATCTCACAAAGAGATAAACTGCCTTGTTATTTGATGCCTGCAGCTTAGAAGTGCTTCCAAATGATGTGTTGGTCTTTTCAATAAATATTCTGCTATTTCAGAGTGTCGGAGTTGTTTAACTCTTGCTCTGTACGTATATTTTAATTGTTGTTTATAGCTGACAGTTTGAAGGTAATTCCAAGGCACTTTGGTGCAGTGCTATTATTTAAAGACTGTCCATACACACACAGACACACATTCTGAATGATCGTCTTTATTTATATTTTTTATTAGATAAAAAACCGCGATTTCTAAAATGTTCTCAACTTTAATATTTTAATCCAAACTGCACTAATTTGTAGTTAGCTAAAGGGAAATAATAAATCGTAAAAGATTTCTCTTTTAATGTAGACTTTCCAGAATTACATTTCAGTGTTCACTTTGCCAGACTGTAGCTGAATAACGACATTGACTGAGATTCTAACAAAAGGTAAACGTTTCGAAACGGACCGATAGCTTACTAATTGCCACTGAACACAGTCATTACGATGTCTTGAACACATGGACTTTGCGACATGCAAGTTCTTAGCACAATATTTCACACGTCAGACGTTGCGATTCAAAGATTTCCCTGTGTCAAACTTAAATAGTCACTCTACATTTCTTTCCCATCTTAGTCATTATTATCTTTGCACAAACTTAAGTAGGCATGACATGATGACATGGTGTCACTTAAAACAAGTAAATTGAAGTGTCGACAGGTTGACAAAGTTTTTGTTACGAGAAAGAAAACAGGCTTTCACATAAATAGGTAAAGTTTGAATAAACATTTAGCCATATCAGATTATGTAAATGCATGTTCCTAAGAAAGTTGCGTTTGCATGTTTCATAAATTTAAGTGGCGTGTGTGATTAGCAGCTAATTCAATGCAAAAGAACTTATTTTATTGCAAGAAGAAGCCTATTAAAATAAAGTATTTGTGTAGTGTTTAAAACAATTTTATCGAGCTCTGGAATGGAGTGCATTTGGAATGGTTATCTTGATCATACATAAAGACAAATATTGGAATTGACGCAGGCCTTCACCATCAACATAGCACGGAGTCCTTTCATATATTAAAGCGACCTCAGATATGTGTATTATGACATTATTGAGCATATCCTTTGCCTCTATAATACCACTATGCGTTTAATCGCATCATTTTTAGTTCATAGCAATACAAGTTTGAGTACAAAAGTACAATAAATTTTATTTTGAGCCCATCAAATGCTTACAGTTCTTATAGTAACAGGACTTTGAAATCCCTAATAATTTGAAGTCGGTCCATTACTGTATACAGTACAAGAAAGTTAATGAGCCTTTCTTTGTCTTATTATTTTCTACTTTGCTATTTAGAGCAAATATTGCAAGACAGTTGTTCATTATTGGTAAAAATTTGAAACTATTTTAAATTTCTGTTCTATTTTTAAAACTAGCAGGCATGAAAATATTTAGTCAACTGCATACATTCCGTTAAACTCCAAAGCAGTGGTATATTCTCCTTTTAAGCGCGTTTGAAAGAAAACTGAAATAGAGTTTAAGCTTTCTATCTCTTTTCAGAACACATCGTTGAAATCGGCTGGTTCAACGTATGACATGGAAACAGCCTCCATCCATTCAGAGGAAAGTAGTGGTTTCAAAAGAGGCTCGGATTCAGGAACTGTCATTCTCTGCTCTACTAGAAACTCTCAGTCTTCATCTTTTACTATGGAAGACGTAAGTACTAGATCATTGAAGAGAATTCAACTATCGCTCAAATGTAATCTCATAAATAAGGCATCATTATTATTATTATATCAAATGGCAGGCGTCTTGATGGTTATCATTAGGATATCAAATGGCAGGCGTTTTGATAGTTATCATTAGCCCCCAAATGGCAGGCGTCTTGATGGTTATCATTAGCCCTATAGTCGACTTCAGGCTTCACAGAGAGGAAGGTACGTCAAATTGAAAAAGTCGAGAGGGGGGGGGACAGAAGAGTGGTTCAGAGATGTAAAAGAGACAGGCAAACACAATGGTAGAAAAAAGGTGAGGTGAGTAATATGGAAGTAGTCGAATATGACATATAGTGAGATGATTGT